GGAAATTCCTACGGTCACGTAGACAACAACAAAATGGCTCTGACGAAAGTGGATACTTCCTGTTACTCCAGCGAGGGTTGCGGTATGTAACACAAGCATCTGTGCTTCGTCGTCTTTGCTGATGCTGCCGCTGTCGTAGCCGTGAGGCAAGGGCCACAACTCTCTACTTATAAACTATTATCAATGCGAAAACCAGAGTCCCAATCTCGCGGTGAAGTGGTCAACCACCGTTCTCCATTCACTCGCTTTTTCGCTTCGCTCTGGGCCCGCATCAGGTTCCTTTTCACTGCTGCTATTTCGGAAGCCTGCGATTGCTCAAACCACCCTAAAACCAATGCGCGTTCTCGCTCGCCGTCCAATGTGTCTCTGGCGAAACAGGGCGATGCTGTTGACGCGAAGGTCATCACAGTTACTAGTGTTCCCGAGAGCGAACCTTTGGTTAACTCCTGCAACAGTCTTCAAGCTTCTAAGCCCCCGGAGCCGCCCCGCGTGGAATATCAAACAAATGAAGCCGTTATGGATGCTTCCATGGATAACCTCTCTGTGTGTGCATCCTTGGGGGAGGCGGACTGTCCTGACACTGTTGTTTGCTCCCCACAAAGCCAGCTTGTCCACAGCGAGCGTCATCTGTCCGATCGCCTAGAAGTGCTTGTCCTCGGAGAGGTGGGTGCTTTCAACGCTTTACCATTGCAAAGTGAAGCGCCCTTGGAGTACGCACACGTAGTCTTTAGGGAAGAGCATAGACCAGAGAGTGTCCTCCATGCAACCATTGACCTAGATGCGACTGAAGGGAACAGTAACGCACACACAGTTCCGGTCACTCAGATTAGTGTTGTTCATCAACAGCTCAAGAATGGTGAGATTTCGGAAAAGGAACATCAGGAGATCACAGAGTCCATTGTCCAATCCACAATCCCACGTAACCTCTCCGACAGTCCGGAGACACGCAAACCGATCGGTGTAGCCCAACTCTACGCCTGGCAACCACCCCCAGACGAGCCAGTCACTGCTGAGGAGCTGGAGGTGTTGGAACGCTCAAACGAGTTTGTGGATGAGTTGATTTCCGTATCTCTCGATGTCGTAAACGTTAAGAGTGTTGAGTTCAGTCCAAAACACGCGGTTGTCGTACCTCCGACAGAAGAGGAGTCTGAGTTGCTTGCTAAAGAAGCGAAGCTGGGCGACGGAACTTTCGAGCAGAAGCTTGAGGATGGTAATGATGAGGAGGACGATGAGAATGAGGAGAGGGAGGAAGAGAAGGTAGAGGAGAAGGCGGAGGAGGAGGAAGAGGAGGAGAGTCCAGGGACGTGCAAGTTCAGAACTCTGCGAGATGTTGATAAGATGCTTCACTCCACGCCACCATCGTCCAGCGTTCCTGCCACGAGTGTTGAAGCCGACGTACCCGAGGCGGATGAGGCCGCTGATATTCTACCTCTCACTTCAACATCACCTGCCTATGATGGAATCTTTCGGTATTACATGGAAGTACCATTTAATGATTTAAACCAGATGCGCACCAAACGAAGCAGTTCTCTGAAGTCGGAGCACTCTCCGCTGAGCACTCCGTGCAGAAAGATTGTCCGTTTCGCTGATGCTCTGGGTCTCGATTTGGCTACTGTTCGTCAGGTGCTTGATCAGGAGAAACCACCTAGGATACCTGCCTCAGCAACTCTGGATCTAAAGCTGGACCTGGATAGATCGCTCAGCACGCAGGGTGCGAAGCAGTTTCAACTCTGTTTCGCCCAACCCAGCGCCTCCAACAACTTCATTCATCGAGTCCTCCGGAACAATGTGGTGCTGGAAAACGCGCGAGTCGATTCCTCGCGAGGTCTCCTTACCGGCACCATCCGAGTGAAGAGTCTCGGCTTCGAGAAGCACGTCTCCGTGCGGATAACCTACAATGATTGGGCCACCTTCTGTGACCTACCTACCAACTACGTTCAGGACTCTCACGACGGTGCCACTGATCGCTTTTCCTTCTGTGCAATCTTCCCGTCTACCTTGGTTGCTAATGAGAGAGTCCAGTTCGCCATCCGTTATGAGACTCACACGGGAGAAGTCTTTTGGGACAACAACCTCGGTGAGAACTACAGTATCGTCTGCCACGCCAAGGCCACGGACATGGCAGGAGACGGCTCGTGGGTGCATTTCCTTTAATTTTGAGAAAAAACAAACGCTGAGATAATGTTTTGTGCCGCCGCGGTCGCCTTGGCCACCATTCACCGTGAAGGCACACATGTAACTACTTTAACCCCCTCCTCCGGCCACTGTGCGGATCACTCGCCCCCCTCCTAATCGTCTCAGCCCGACTCGTAACGCCAACAGTTGCCAACATCGGCGCCATCTTCCCCCCCCCCGCGGGTGCTTCGTGAACCTCTCACACACACACACTCACGCCTCCCATCCCTAGATGCTCCCATGCGACAGACGTCCACCCCCGTCCCTCTACCGCCGTCCAACACCCCTACCCCTGATAGGGTCTTAGTCGCTTAACAGACGCTGCTGCTACTGTCTCGCGTTCGCTTCAACGTCAGGGGCCTATCCTTGTAGATTTTTCCGCCTGGGATTATGTACCCGCTTTCGCATCAGATTTGTAAATCGAATTAATAGACCAGGACTCCAAGGCCAGAAGTTGCTCCCACACCAAACTCTTCTCTCTCTCCCACATGGTTGGGGCTGTGGGGGCCGTCTACTGCTCCTCCCCCTTAAGAACTGCTACGGCTTGCTAAGGAGCGGAGGACAGTCGAGAAGCGCACACCTCTTCGGTTTGTGGCCTTTGGAAGTGGTGATCAGTCGCGGGGAGTAGCAAAGGGGCTGCGAAGTAGTCGATCTAGGACAGCTGCGCAGTTTGCTTCCTCGGTTGGTCAGTGCCGGTGGGCAGAACCCCAGACTACTGCAGACAGTCTGGTGAGATGAGTCCTGTTTTCTGGCGAAACCATGACTGGAGCTTTTAAATACTCTTGCAGGCTGATAAGGCTGCTTAAATAGGGTCGCAAGACGTGTAATATCGAGTAACGTAGTACGAGAAAGCACGATTTTTCTCTGGTAGTGAGTCTTTCCTGTGTCGGGTAAGACCGCGGCGCAACCGACGGCAATCCCGGTCTTATGAATGATGTACAAGCGTTGAATTATTTACAGTCCTTTTTCAGTAAGCTCCTAACGTATGTTTCTTGATGATGGTGGTAAGAAATCTCAGTCATTCACTTTTTTTCTGTAAACACAACGTGCATTCTCACTTGCTCTTAAGATCCCCCGACTACAACTGCCATGCGTTTCATTTGGAAGCAATTCTCCGTATTTTTTCCCTGCATAGGAAGTCTTCTTACAATGTCCGTATGGTATTGAAATAGACCTAAATCACATCGTTTGTGAAGGTCGCAAACCGGCACCTAGATGCCACTTTTGGTAAATTGGAATATTCCCGTCTTTTAAGTGCAAGAGTTTTCAGACATGATTTTATACAAGAGAGTTTACCGAGTGAAATGTGCTAAACTACAGTCGGTGACCGATCACATATAACTCGAATTCTGTAGTACACTTTCGATCAGAAAGAATTACTTAAGTTCGTTTACAATACTGATTATCTGCCGGCGTAGTTCAGTAATATTTCAGACACCTCAGGATATTGGTGTTAGTTCCCCAAAATATCGTAAGTCGGTAAAAGAATGATTTCTTAGGTAGCATACCCCTTTTCCATTGCCTGTTTGATGTCTTTATAAATGAAAATATATTTAGTAGGAAAGATCCACACATATATCGTTTCTTGTATTCATTTGGTAGCAAATGACGCTTTCAAATTTTATAATAAGAGAACGGGGTATCCTTCGATTTTAAACTTCCGATCATGAGATTTCTAAGACCGTAAAATTTTCATTTAAATAGCATCTTATCTGTCTGCATAACAAGTACGGAACAGTACAATTCGTTGCAACACATATGGTATCTTTTTAATAATTTAAAGAAGTTTTTGTTTTTCCTTACGCTGAAAGTATGCAGCTTGCAGAATGAAAAGCTTGAACACAAATGCAACGGTATGTCGAGCTCAGAATCATTCAGGAATCGGAAAACTTTTTTAGAACCAAAATATACTCTTCCTTTAGGTATAAAATTTGAATAAGGCGTGGTCTGCTATGACATGAGTACAAGAAAGGATATTTGGTGCATTTTTTACGAAAAATACTTACCACCATAAGAGCATCGACAATAAATAGAAAGATGGATACTACTCAAGTGGCCATTTTTTACCGTGTGTTTTTTAGACTGCTAGGAAGAAGTGCATCTAAAAATTAACATCCTGACGTGTCCGAAATATTATGGGATCGTGTCGTTAGATAATCAATATCACGATCCCACTTAAGTAATCCGTCCCAATCGAAAACGAATTTACGAATTTCGGTTAACATTTCCTGAGATCGGTCGCTGACCGTAAAAGTATGCCTTTCTGCCGGACGGTAGGTAGATGGATGAATAATTTAATGTTCACACACCGGGCGTCATGGTAACATTAGTTGAGACGATCTGGTTGCTATCCCGAGCAAAGAGGCGATCTCCACCCTCCCTCTGCATGGACAACATAGGGAATCGGTAATGAAAATTTGTCGAGTCAATTTTGCACCCTTCTCAGAGAACTAACAGTAGGGGACATACCTCAGAAAGCATCGACTGAATATCTGAAGTATGAACTCGGCTAGAAAAAGATTACTTAGGTGGACTTTTGAGATTTATTATCGCGCAACAAGATCCCATGATATTTCACTCGTATCAGAATGCTAGCTTTTTAACGCGTCTTTCCGCTGTCCTTCAGAGGCCACAAATGTCCTCTTAAGCAGTATGTCGTTTTAAATGGACTTTGCTTCCTCTGTGAGTCCAAAAATGTCCTTTTTGCTTTTGCTTGTTAGTAAGTTACGTCTCGGATTTTCTGCTTGAAGTAATTTTATCTCCCAGTCTTTTTCCAGAAGAGATGTTTTTTAATTTCCGAATAATTTTGAGCCCTAACCGCCGCCGGGCTTTCATTCCAGCTCTTCAGACTATAAACTTTGCATTTTGCATTTAAGAAAACTCGTATTTTTTCGTAAATTGTTAAGTAGTTATGACATAGGGCTTATAGGATTTTGCAGTGAATATGCGCACTAAGAAACGCAGTTAAACGATATTATTTGAGTAAACATTTCAATATCTAAATAGCATCGAAGTGCAAACCTTTTTTGGGGCTGAAAGATGCCGCTTCTTCCGCGTAGGAAATCTAAAGGAGAAATTCCTTGTTACAAGAATATATCTGTGCATGTCTTCTACAAAACAGCTTTAGAACCACAAGGGCATCGTAACTCAGTGTAACAAAAACCACACTGCCAGGGCAGACATTTTTAGCCAGTGGGACTTTTGCATGTCATCGGGAAAGGGCACATTCAAAAACTAACGTCCTCTCGTGACCGCGGTCACGCTTCCGACTTTCAGATGATGTTTCATGAGACATTTTATCCGCGGTATAGACATGTGGCCGGAGGTAATGGCTCTTTCTGCTCGAGAACGCAGAGATAGGAGCCTTTTAGCAGACATCTTTTGGATAACCGGATGCTACATGCTGTCCACGGAGTTCCGGAAGTCGAGTACATGAAGCATGGGCATATGCGTGAGGAGTTATCCACTTCCAGACCTGAACAGACCTATAGATTAAAGCAAGCTATTTTTAGGCATTCGGACAAACAGCGCCCCTGGTGACTTTCAGGCAACTGGGCACTCGCAGATCTTAAGTGGAATTAATTGGCACTCAGTGCTGCACTCAGGGGTGGAAGACTTTCCGAAAAAGAACGTCGTCTTCACAGCCAAGCCCCTTGACTGTCAACACTAAATCGGGGCGGGGGTCATGGTTTCCCTAAGCCCCCTTTTTAGCCCAAATCGCGCTGAACGAAGAAGAGTTCTTATTGCTGCCTTCTTAACTAAAATTCCAACAGTAGCAACTCCAATAGCGTCAAATATTTCCCACTTTTACCTGGGGCAATCGCTGGTTCGGATGCAAGTAACAGCCGGCTAACCAGTGACAGACGTCCAGGTACGAATCCAGCTACCAACGTCGGCACTTGTGTTCTATCCCCACGACACTCCTGTGCATTCTTCACTGTAACACATCGGACAGGCTTGAATCTATCACCACGCGCCAAAAGCCTTGGCTTGGACGGTCGCCAACTAACTGAACAGCTGGTCCGCTAGCTAGGATGGCAGTCAGGCTGCAATGGCTCTCTCATAATATGCCCTTTGTGACACTCCTACGCACCTGAAATCGGACTCATCCTCCAAGGTTGTGCGAGGCACGCGTAGACGGGTTGTTCAACTTTGTCAGCCACTGAGACCGAGCCCATTTTGACTTGTTTGAGCTCCGGTTGGCCACAGTTTCCAGGTAGCAGAACAGTATTGCTGCACCATGCCTTAATTGTTCAGCTATGGAGGATGTGATGCATACGATATCTTCGGCGGCTCGTGAAACGGTATCAGTTTCATCGAGAAGCTTTCAAACGGAAAGTAGTACATGGGGGGAGGGGGGTCGCGTAAATTACTGGCGGAAAACTTAGTTTAATTATGTACAGTGAGTAACCAATCTCATGAAATCTTGACTGAAATTCTAATATGCGTTTTCGATTAGGAGGGATTACTTGAGCGCAGTTGAAAACTGATTTTCTTGCGGTATAATCCTATAATATTTCTGACTCGGCAGGATGTTCGCTCTTGATTGCATGCCTTTTCAATCTCCTGTGGAAATTGTGCTCGGTAAAAATGACTACTTAAGTAGCATGCACTTTCACACTGATTTTCGATGGTCTTATGAATTCAAATATATGTTACAGAAAACATGAACGAAGATATGCTTTCTTTCACTCATTTGATAAAGAATCACGTCAACTTTCTATTTCATCCTCAAAGAGGGAGTATAATCGGGTTTCAAAATGTTTCTAATTATGGGATTTTTCTTTGAGGCCGCGCAATGTCCACTCATACTGCACCGCACCTGTACGTTTACCACTGCTTCTCATGAAATGTACAACGTAGTCCACATCAAGTGTAGAATTTTATGGACTGAATATGGTATCTTTTTAAAGGCATGAAAGAATATATGATTTGCCTTATGCGGAAGGCATGCACCTTGAAGACTGAAATCGCTGGAC